AAAACAGTTTGTTCTTTTTCCGTTGGTAGATTGTGAATTTGATCTCATCAAATAAATGTTTGTTTTCTTGGACTAAATTATATGAGACTATTACTTCCAAGACTAGTAGTTTTAGGTTTATCAATCTCTTAAGATTGCATATCATATTCGAAGTTCAGAATATCCTTAAATTAGGGAGCACGATTAGTAAAATCTTCATCTCATTTCATGTTTGTTTGGAATTATTTTGATATGGACTAAATGGTATAATAACCGTAGTTCCATGGTATTTTAGTATCCTACCCTCATTCCGGAACTGTCAGTAGTGTTATCCCCTAAACAAACTTGGGCATGAAAATTGTGAAAGATAGTGTGCTGGACTTTAATGTCGGCATAAAAGATATATCTGATCAAAGCAAGTGCTAATAATATGTTCAAAATATACATGAAACCCTAGCAAGCAACTTTAGTTGGCCAAATAAGCAAAATTTCTTTAAGCTCTTTCATTTATATATAGCAATTTTTTTTTTTTCTTTTGTTTTATGAACATATGTTTCTTAATAACTAGGAAGAAGAGGGCGATGACGTATGGGATAATGGATAAACCATGATCATGCATGCTTTTTCAATGAGAAACTCATTAGAAAGTTCTTTTGAGGAAGAAGAAAAAACAAAACCTCGAGCACGCTGCACGTGCATTGGCGATTAATCCTACTATCTTAGTAAAACATATATAGTCAGTTTTTCAAAACCTTGGGCATGTAAGGTACGAAGTACATTGTTACATAGGCTGGTGAGACACGATCTAGGATTGAGTCTTGTGAATGCATTGTAACGGGTCTTGGTACTCTAGATAGAGTGTTGAGATTGTTCAAATTGAAAGATTCAAATCACAAATGTAGGCATTGCTCCTTTACACTCACAGGTAAATTTGAATTTCGTGCAAAATATTTTATTATACTTGTTTTTTCTTTATTAGGACACTTGTTACATCACAGTGTAAATTTTTTGATATTTTTATCATTAGATGCGCAGTACATTGGTCTCGTTGTATTTTCCAAGCAAAATTAGTGAGTTTGCACATTTCCATAGTCTAGACATTAGATCGATAAGAAATTGCTAAACAATTGACTAGCAAGGGATTTCTAAGCAATTGAGCGTCACGGTAAGGAATTGATTGCCAATTCGCATTAAAATGTCAATTTTTACTTTAGAGATGAGAGATTGCTAAGGAATTGCTAGGTGATCAATCACTCTACTTTCATGGTGTAGTGACCGATCACCGTAGTGAGAAAGGCGTAATTCGATCTGTTTTAGGTTTCTGAATTCCCCATGTCTTGTATATTTTGAACGACTAAAAGTTTTCTAAGGAGTTTTGAACACTTATCTTTACATCTTTATGAAAATACTCTTTTGAGTTTTTCCATAAATAAATAAATAAAAACACCTGCACACATTGCATTGCATTTTTTTGACATCCCGTGATCATTTGGGTAAACAGAATTGTCAGAGTACGAAGGTCGAGTCAAAGTTTTGTGGTGATCTAGCATCTAGCAAATAAAGAAAGCTGGCCAAGTCAGTGTGACTTTGTAGAGCGTGGAACGGATTTCAGAGTTAAGTGAAGTAGGGTATGGTTGTAATTTTATTTTTGGTCTGAGTCTTCTAAATTTTGATTTGTTTAGTGAATTATTTAGCATGTTGGGATCATGATTTTCATCACATGAGGGAGTTTTCTTGTAGGATCTTCATATCAAATCACTGTGTCTATTTATTCAGTAATGTATCTGATCACCCTCGATCTATAATTGAAATTGAATTTTTAATTACCCAAAATCTTTTAAAAACATGTTCATCTTCGTGTTAGCCTAATCACCTCCCCAAATACGCATAATTTCTACAGATTCCAATATTTTAGCTAGTGATGCTATCCAATTAATTGTTGCATCAAGCTGGCATGTTCATATTTAAGATAGTGCCTTCTAGACTATAAAGTTGATCATCAATCTCATGGCATTGCTTTAATTTTTTTATTCTATTCTGCAAACTATTTCTTTCCTCTGCAGTTGCAAGCATTTAGCAGTTTAATCAAGAGATGGCAGCTGTGTTGCTCATGATATCATGCAAAAATAAATAAATAAATAAAAAACATGCTTGTAGCCTCAATTTCAAGAATTCATTTTATATCACTATACTGTTTTTTTTTTCCCTGACCAAAACTGATAGGTGATTGCAAGAGAGTGAAGACAAGAATAGATCAAGAAAATAGCAAGACAATTTTATTCATTGATAGATTGTGAATCAGTTCTCATCAAATAGACTATGGGTTGTGAAGAAAATGAAGAAATAAGGCTACATTGATACCACCACTCATACAACATAAATGATTCTGATGCTCAAATTTTCTTTATTACATTTCCGGACAGTTGTATGATCCCCAAATCAATCTTCTCTAAAGCAAAAATGGAAGGAGAGAAGCTAATTTGATTATGCTTCGTTTAGGGCTTGAAGGAGGTGAAAGCAACCACTGAATTATGCCCGCCAAAGCCAAATGAGTTGGAGATAGCTGCAAGAAAGAAATTTGATTAGCAAATATAGGAATGTATGCAATATTTCTTGTTTTTCTTGCATGGTTTGTGCACAAGAGCAATTAATTGAAAGTTTCTTGGAAACACGTACCAACATTGACTTCGTGCTGTTTTTTCACATTTGGGACAGTGTCGACAGTGACATCAGGCTCCAAGTTCTACAAATATAAGGAAACAAACATACAGTTAATGAAACTAACAAAATGTATAGCATAATTGGGGAATTGGGTTTTTGGTGCATTACATTTTGGTTAATGGTTGGATGAAGCCAGCCAGTGTTGATTGCTTTAATGGTTGCAATGGCTTCCAATCCACCAGCAGCTCCGAGCCCATGCCCAATCATAGACTGAAAAACCAATAAAATGAGAAACCCAAACGCATCAAGCATGATCATCATTTTTAGTTCAACATTCAATCGATTTGATAAATAAACTGTTATTTTGTTCTGAAATTTTCTGTCTACAATTGCGAATAATTTTTTGTATATGTGAATGGGGTTTAGGTTTTCTTGCCTTAGTTCCATTCATCTTCATCTCAGATGTGTCCTTAAAGACTTTCTTGAGAGCATTAACCTCAGCTAAATCCCCAGCAAGGGTAGACGTTGCGTGAGCATTCACATAGTTCACCTGTGTTTTTTTCTGGTTTTGGCTGGGTATTTAATACCGGGCTCATAGGCAAATTGATCACAGAATTCGCCTAATTCTTTTCTTCCTGTTAAGTTTTTGTGTTTCATTTGGTACTGGAGTTTAAGGTCATTGCATAAAGAAAGACCTTCATCTGTAACAATGGACACAAGTTGGCCATAAGTATACTGCTCATAAGGAATAGACATCCGGTCATGGCGGTCCCGAAGTTTTTTCCTAACACGTTCGGCGAAGAGGGTAGGAAGGCCATCAATAAATTTGGCTTTCCAGTGAGTACTGTTAGCATCAGGGCGTTGGGTAACCTTAAGAAGGAAAACATCCTTATACCACCGGAAATGGGTTAAGGATGGACAACGCAAGTTCTGGAGAAGCTCGCGGCCTCTGTCTTGAGAGGAAGTACTGGTACCAATAAAATGGTAAATGATTGTCTGAATAAGTGTGTAAACAACATCAGACTGTTGAACCTGTTGGTTGGTAGTCGGATCAAGCTCAAGCTTAATAGCGGTTAGAACTTCAGTTTGTTGAATGGGAGTTATGATATTATCCCACCAACCTTTGAGAATACCGGTAAAGCCATTAATAATAAATTTAGCAATGGCTTGGTCGTTATTACTGTATTGGCGGCAAACGGTAGCATACATCATCATTTGTTGCAGTTTCTTATAGATGCCAAATTCTGATTCACCATCAATATTCCATTCATAAATGGTTTTACCATGGTAACTATTCTGTTCATTCAGATAAGCTTCTTCATAAAGAATATCTGGAGGAGTAGGCCTGGAATAGTAATTACGGGTATGTGGTAAAAATCCTGGTTTAGCAGAACTGTAATAGTTTAGCTTGTTGACAGAAGAGGGTTCCTGAAAATTTATTTGAATTTCTTGAATTTGTTCTGGTGATAAAGTATCCTGGTCAGGACTGGATTCAGCTCGAAGCATGTGGATTGATCCACTGCTAGATTGTCCTGGGAGTTTAGGAGGTTCTGGAGGGCGAATATTTAATGTTTGCATTTTCTGTAATAAGGTATCCATAAACTCAGTATTAGACGATTTTAACTTAAAGTTAGTGATGTCTAATGATGGTTTTAGAGATACTGGATGGAGGGCTGAAACGCCAGTTACAGGTGGAGCTAGAGTTCTATCCTTAAAGGTAGAAACAGCTTCTTCAATTCGGGTTAGCTGTTTACTGATGGTTTGACAGATAAGATTTGTATAATTATTCTGTCGGGCTAAAGAAGATTCAGCCTTGGTAAATTTGGTAGATTGTGCATCAATATAAGCAGTAGCTGATAAGGGTTGTTTTGTAATTTCGCCATTAGGAACAAGTTCTAAGGCTTGTGCTGGTGGATGTAAAGAATGAATAACTTGGCCTTCGACAGTAGTCCAGGCTTTGTACTGGTCTTCAATAACTGTGACTTGTGATTGAGCAGCTGTATGATACCATTCCACAAAAGGTATGAGTTTCTGATGTAACTCAAGATGATGATAATATTGAGTTTTATATATGGCTAACTGGTCAGAAGTATGGTTGGAAAAATACCAATTCCTAAATTCTTTATATTGTTCCTGGTTGAACTGCTGGTTTAAAATTTTACTTTTCTTCCACTTTTGCTTCCTGCCTCACCCTCCACCTTAGCAGGGATGGTGAGCATCAGAAATTAATTTCTTGTTAAAAATTTCTGAATCTAATGGCTTACCTACTTTCACGATATCACTGATTAAGTCGTGGAACTTATGGATATAGAATTGACAATATGTATGCTATTTGGGTTTATTAGAGAGAGACAGATGTTGACCCAATGCCTGATACCTTGAAAGAGGTATCATTCCTACCATTTGCATCATGCCATGATATGCTCTCAGTTTTTATACTGAACTCTACAGCTCCTATGATACAACCTCTGAGGCCTGAATGACAGGATGGAACAATAGGGCTGATACCTTTGCTTTGTCAAGCCGAGGAAAGTTGGTCACCTGTTGATAGGTGAACTGGCCTCTGACTGTCTTGGACCCTACAGAAGGGAGGGAGTATCCATGCACATAATGCACCACAGTAACTCTGGTCATCATCTTTCTCCACTCTGGTGACTAGGTCTCTCCTTGCCACTTTTTCTCCCTCTTGAGGCTGTCTTGTTTCTCTCCTCCTCCGCCTCTGCCTCTGTCGGTCCTTAGCCTTTGAAGTCTGCCTCTGACCACCTCACTACCAAATACCCACACACACTAGTCTGGAGTTGGGGTTAGAATTTATTATTAGATGCTTCAGGTTAATAATTTGGTTCATGCTTGAACATTCCTGATTGTCATTTTAAACATATATTATTAGAAATTATTGAATGTTTAATGAAAAACAACTAGACTATGCAGTATGTCTAAGAGATGTTTTTTCCATTTGATAGTTTCTTGTATTAGTCTCAAACTCCTGCCATAGCTTTGTAGTGCCAGTTTTTGATAGATTGACTTGCTCTTTCTCTCTTTTGGTGAGGTTTAAAAGATTTCTATGATGTTTTCAGGTTCAATTGCTGATTTATTTCATGCTAAAATATGCAATGGAGGTATTACTCTCAGAATCTAGCGTCATCACCACATACTACTTTCATTGGTCCACGAGCAAAGTGGCACTTTTTCTTGCATGTCTTGGTCTAACAGTTCTTCCAGTAAACATTGTTGTTGGAAGCTACATCAGCAACATGTTTGAAGACAGGTAATTTTATGGGAGGTGTGCTTTATAATGTTAAAGACTTTCGCTATAGTTGCTGATCTGAAGTCAGTGTTTAAATAGACAATTTAGTGTCAATTGTGTTTCTTTACAAGATGAAAAAAGGGACAATCGACAACCCGTATATTGTTGGTTAAGTAAATCACTTTGAAATTTGGAACTACATAAAACAATAAAGATTTTTTTAATATATATATCTCAATTGTAGAGTAATTTTGTTGGGTTGGGTTCCAGCAGAAGTGAACTGTACTAACTGGTCGTTGGGAGGTATTTTCTTTTATTCATGATATAGAAAACATGGTATTTTCTTTGGAATGTTATGGCTGTGGAGTGATATTAACCATTGACCAACGGCGGGACTTATTGATTGATAGGACCAATTGTGGCATTTGGCAAGGCTTTTTAGGCCATAGGACAAGGACCCAAATTTCATTTCATTTTCATCAAAATGACTGAAGCATTTCTGTTTCCTAGGAGACCGAAATGAAACATTAGTGAAATACCAACATTCCAATATTTTCACAAAAGCACATAGAAACACAAAACACTATGAAACATATCCGAACAATGAGCTGTTCTATATTGGTTATGAATATTCAATGATATGGTTATTTCTATTTGTATCTTTTTTTGTCAAAAGAAAAATTTTGAGAACAAAGAAAAAAGTTAAATTTATTAGATAATCTGAGAAACTGTAAAGGATAAAATAAAATAAGAATGATTAAATCACTTATTCCCTTGTGTATTCAAAACATTTCCAAAATGTTTCTGAAACATTTCCATTTCCAATGTAACCGAAACAGCTTAATGAGAAGAAATTTTGAATTTTGATACTCGCTGTAGGATTGGTTCCATTTGATTTATTACTGCAATTGGGATTTAGCTACCAACAATCTCCATATTATTTTGCTTTAATTTTATGTGAAGGTTTGTTGGAGTATGCAAGGTAATATTGATAGAACTTCCACCCCGATATTCTTGCAAACCTTCTCTGCAAAAAAAAGGAAAAGAAAAAAGAATAGAGGCTTTTGCAATGTAAATTTTTCTTTTCTTCCACTTTTGCTTCCTGCCTCACCCTCCACCTTAGCAGGGATGGTGAGCATCAGAAATTAATTTCTTGTTAAAAATTTCTGAATCTAATGGCTTACCTACTTTCACGATATCACTGATTAAGTCGTGGAACTTATGGATATAGAATTGACAATATGTATGCTATTTGGGTTTGTTTGCTGATAAGTTAACTTGTGCACATAACCTAACATAGTTGCAATACCCTTATATTACTTGAACACTTCGTATGAGAAGTTAGTTCTCTGTTCATTACGTGTTACAAAACTTTTATCACAACGTGCTGATTCATTTTTCGTCGTTGATTTGATTGCAGGCAAATTTTATTAGCATCTGAAATTATGGTTTGCATCGGCATACTACTGAGCTTCCATATAGTAATTCCGTATTCTGTGCCACAATATGTCTGCTCAGGACTCATAATGTTTGTCTTCGCCGAAGTACTAGAGGGTAAGTTTATATATCTGGTGAACTTAATTAGTTGTTTTATCATTTATGCAATGAATTATTAGTCTTGTTATCCTGGATAGTTGATACTATGTTACGATATCCTCTAATCTATGGATTTGGAATCTGGTATTGGCATAGGTATGAGGTAAAATATTTGTACAGTTCACCTACTATTTTGAACTTAGCTTGGAGTACCCCACTTTCGCTCTTTAAGGAAAAGATTGAGAGCTTAGGTTGGAACATGAGTTTGTTATGAAGAAATGCAATATAAAGCTTTTCATCTTAATGTGAGGTCTACTCGTTTCTTGGTTTTCCATGTAGGTGTCAACTTGTCTCTCCTCTCTCGGGTCATGTCATCTAGGCTATCCCGTGGAACCTACAATGGTGGATTGCTTTCAACTGAAGCTGGAACAATTGCTCGAGTGATTGCAGATGGCACGATAACATTGGCTGGGTACTTGGGCAACAGTAGGCTCTTGAATGCCACCTTACTCCCTTCGCTCTTGATTTGCATAACCTCTATTATTGCCACCTGCTGTACCTACAACTCGCTTTACTAGTTCAGTCTCTTGGATTAAAAATTATCATTAGGTCCCAATTTATAAACCATTGCCAATTCTCTCTAGTTAGGTTAAAAAATGTTTGTGTTTGGTCTATATGTCATTCAATTCTTTGCCTTTCATGTATCAATCAATAATGCTGTGTAATTATGAAAATAATCCATTGATTTTCTCCCTGGAGTCAGATTCTAATAAATTATAATTTGGTTCTTAACATTGTGATGCACAGATGGCCATAACCGGTTGGTTAATCCTTCTCTTATTTGAATTTTTTTTTTTTTTTTTTTTTTTTTTTTTTTTTTTTTGCGAAATTAAGGTTAAAGTTAAACCAACATTTTCTAGGCATGAGAATAGCTTCAAGCTTTTATCTCATTTTTATAAATATATGGTTGTGACTAATTAATGTGAGTAGGGCCAGACATAATCATAGAACAGTTTTTTCATGAGCATATGGAGATGATAATGGTGGTGGTCAGCAGCCATCATAATCATCTGTGTGCTGGGCAGCAGAGGGTCTCTATCTGTTGATCAATGAACTTCCCTTTAGTCATTGTCATTTTCAACAATCAATTTATTATCCCAAATAAAACAAAATAATTTACATTCAATTAAGAAGTCGCCGAAAGAATTGGTGGGATCTGGACTTCAAAAATTGTACATACTTCCAATCATGTCCGATGTACATAATGATAATAACAATAATAATAAAAATGCTAGTAAAAATTAATTAAAAAAAGTTATATTAACAATTGTTCCAACGATAGTGATTAATTTTTTTATGATATGTACTATCATATAAATAATATATAATTATTTCTAATTTCTTAAGAAGTGCGTTTGGCCGCCCCTAATAAGTTTGAGCTTTAAATTTCATTGCCCTCATTCCCTTTCCTTATACATATATTGTGTGGTATCTCAAACAAAAAATAAAAAAGCACCCCTAGAACACTCAGGATTTATTAATGAAGTCTACTTTTTTTAAATTAATTTTTTTTTATTTATTCATATACATTTTATGTCAAATTTTATGATCAATTTCAATATTAATAATTTGTTATTAACAAAATCCCCCCCCCCCAAAAAAAAAAAAACTTTTTAACTAGTGTCCTAAACTATTGATTAATAAAATCTAAAATAATTATATTATTTTGACACACCTAGTTTTCATGTCATAAAGAACTAATGTATAATTTAACTGTAATAAATGAGGAGAGCTCCAGAGTTTGGGATATGTTCTCCTCTGTACTTTCATTTTCCATACTTCTTCATACTTCTCCCAATTCGGACCCATACCGATCATCCAGACCATCTACCTCCTAAGTTTTATAATAAATATCATACAAAAAATGAGTTTCATCAGAAAATTATAAACACAGGAACAATTTTTTTTTTATTATATAAAATGAATAGTTTAGTTTATAATCACATTTGTCATTCATTTTATAAAACAAAATACAATTTTTTCTTAAGATTATAATTTCCGATGAAGCTCATTTTTTTATATGGATAACTTTTATTACGAAGCCTACTAGATAAGCGATTCGAATCATCTGTGCATGTCTAAATTGGGACTTACAAAAGAGGTATATCCAAAATGGGACTTACAAAAGAGGTATAGAGAGGTATGGAGAGATAAAAGTCTAGAGAGGATCTGAATTGGGACTTACAAAAAATGTATAGAAGAGATATGAAGAGATGAAAGTATGAAGGTATGGAGGAGCTTATCCCCAAAGAGTTGGATGGTTTGGTTAGAGAGTTGAAATGAATTGAATGAGGTCCCTCGCTTTTTTCTTTTTCTTTTTTTCCTTTTTTTTTTCTTTTGTCTTCTTTGTATTTTTATTTTTATTATCATAATGAATGAGGTCTCTGGTAAAGGTGAACTACTTCACACAAGTAGTTGAATTTCTCATTAAAACCTGCCCCACCTCATTACACAACCATAAAGCTAACTAATTTTTTTTTTCTTTTACAACATATAAAAGTTTAATTGATAGATAAAAGAAGGATAAATTATACTTTTATTCCTATAGTTTGATCTAAATTTTATTTTTTTAATTTAAACAATATGGTTCATGCACTTAAATACAAGTTACCTTAACTTAGAGGTAGTTGAGTAAGTACTCACTGCTTCTCTCCCCCCTGAGTTCTCTCTTGCTGGCTTCCAAGTGCTTTCTTTTGATGGCTTCCCTGGTTTCCTAAAGGTTCTAAGGAGGCCCCCTCCCTCCTATGTTGTAAAAGGAAAGTGCAGATCTTTCTGCAACCAGCTGGATTACCCCTAAGATAAGATAAGAGGAGAAGGTTCATTACAAATATAAGCTTCTGGAATTTTATACATGATTTGGAGAGAATTTCCACTTGCACTAGTAAGACTCTGGGTAGTCTTTTCAAAGTATCTGGTTGGAACTATACCTTCTTGGATACAATTCATATATGCTCCACTATCAACTAAGGCAATAGCATCCTTAATGATAAAATCCGGTTTGATCATAAAAGAAATTTTTATGTACCATTTCTGAAAAGTAACCTGATTAACAAGTAAAAGATAAGGAGTAGAGGTTTCTGGTTCTTTCTTGTTAAGATCAAGTGTTTGTTCAGTTTCTTTCTCTTTCTGTTTAGGGATTTGGGTATGAAGATACTTAATATCTTTAATAGCAGCTTCACTAGCGGTTTGCAAGTGTTTGACTTCTGTTTTGAGAACATTAATTTCCATTTTTAAATCCTGGAGAGTAGTAGGTTGTTCGATTATGGATTTAGTCTGGATTCTATTAATAACTGTTTGAAGATTATAAGAATAATCTGGTATAGGAGGGGTTTCTGTTATTGTTTGTTGGTGTTCATAACACATTTTTAAATATTTTATTTTTATTTCTGGATCTTGGATTTGATCGGCTACAGCAAGCATATCCTTTTGAGTATCTGTTAAAACATTGATACTACTGGGTTCTCCTAGATTCAAACCATTCATTTCTACTATGGATTTCCAGTAGTTGATTTCTGATATTTGTTCCTGATTGGTACTACAGGGACATGATAGATACAGGATGGAGAGTCGAGACTCCTGTGACTGGTGGAGCTAGGGTTCTATCCTTAAAGGTAGAAACAGCCTCTTCAACACGGGTTAACTGTTTGCTGATGGTTTGACAGATAAGATTTGTATAATTATTCTGTCGGGCTAAAGAAGATTCAGCCTTGGTAAATTTGGTAGATTGTGCATCAATATAAGCAGTAGCTGATAAGGGTTGTTTTGTAATTTCGCCATTAGGAACAAGTTCTAAGGCTTGTGCTGGTGGATGTAAAGAATGAATAACTTGGCCTTCGACAGTAGTCCAGGCTTTGTACTGGTCTTCAATAACTGTGACTTGTGATTGAGCAGCTGTATGATACCATTCCACAAAAGGTATGAGTTTCTGATGTAACTCAAGATGATGATAATATTGAGTTTTATATATGGCTAACTGGTCAGAAGTATGGTTGGAAAAATACCAATTCCTAAATTCTTTATATTGTTCCTGGTTGAACTCCTGGTTTAAAATTTTTCTATTTTCACTACCTGGTGTAAAATCCATTAAATATCAAAATTCATATCACTGGCCGTAGGGCTTTCTGGAGAAGGTGTTGGAACTGGGGGTGCAGTATAAACACCATGAGGAATACGATTTTGAGAAAGACGGATTCCTTGAATTTCTGATGTCATAGGGTCTTCCTGTGGATCACTGGGTGGTCTACTAGGAGGCCTAGAGGGTATCTGTTGAAGAATGTTTTCTATTTGTCTGCGGGATGGTAGATTGTCCACAGATTGACGACTGGATTCTGGATAATCCACTTGATAAGAAGGGACAGATCTAAAACTGTTATTAGAAAAACTTCTAGGTGCGGTTCGAAAACTAGCATTAGAAGAATTACTTCTGGTAAGCAATGGTTTCTGGAATTGGAGATACACATGTCCTCCTTGAGTTTGGATAACATCATCAATGTTATGTTGGATCATAGGTTTGGGTGGTACGGCATTAGGAATTTCCCACCTATCTGGAAAGGTGATGTCTTTCCAAGCAATCATCTTGGGGACAGCAACTTGGCTATTGTAAAGGTTAGTCTCAATTAAGACTGTTTGACCTGTTTCAGTTTTCTTTTTTACATAAGGATTTAAAGTTGTTAAAGCCTTTATGTAGATTCGGGAATGTACAGAAAAAAATGGAGTACCTGGTTTATAATTATATCCATGAGTGAGAACTCTGAGTTCTAAGACATTGGATAAATTAGCGTCACATAAAGCAACACTAAGATTCGGATAAATATCAAAATAAACTGGTCCATGAGACAAACTTGTCTCAATAGCTCCCATAAGTGAAGCTCGCCAATCAAGGCAGCGTCCATCACGAAGGGTGCATTGAATACTGGTATTTTGACCAAGAAGGGTCAAGGGTTTAAAAGCAATTTGTACCAATCCTATATGGATGTACTTATAATCTTTCAGAAAGGGGACAAAATCATTAACATGAATTAATCTAATAATTTCATCATTATTCTGGATACAAGATGCATGTTCAAATGTCTTGATAATTGTTTTGCTGAGGAATTGAAATTTTCCTTTTCTATATATGGTATATGGATCTACTGATGGTATGGTCCATTTATCTAGGGCCTGTTTAACATCCTGGTATGCAACTAATTCTGCAGCTTCGGCTAATGAGGAAACAGTATGTGGTAAAAATCCTGGTTTAGCAGAACTGTAATAGTTTAGCTTGTTGACAGAAGAGGGTTCCTGAAAATTTATTTGAATTTCTTGAATTTGTTCTGGTGATAAAGTATCTTGGTCAGGACTGGATTCAGCTCGGAGCATGTGGATTGATCCACTGCTAGATTGTCCTGGGAGTTTAGCAGGTTAGCACGTCTGTCAACGACTTGTTTGCATCAAACGGTCAAACGCACTCTCTGCAACACGACTGGAGGGCGAATATCTCGGGCCTGTTTAACATCCTGGTATGCAACTAATTCTGTAGCTTCGGCTAATGAGGAAACAGTATTTCCTACAGTTGTTACTGATTCAGTGCCTGGTATTTCTACAGTATTTTCATTTTGTTCAGACATGGTTGTACGGTGATCATATATGTCTAATTTATTATATTTATATGATTATTATATGTTTATTAAAACTTGGCTCTGATACCATGAAAGGTGCTCACTAAAGGTAAGATTAGCTTAGCACGTCTGTCA